ATGGCTTAGGCAGCCTGTCCCAGACAAAGAGCAGGTTTAGTGAGGGAGCTCCCAGGTTCCCAACATTGCCCATATGTTGCAAGACAGGAAAGAACACAAAGGGTCTGATTTTCCTGGAATCTCATTGCCCAGTAGCCCAGCTGTAGCTTTCCTGGTGTGTGCAGTTGGCACAAGGTGCCATCCCCAAGCAGAAGGCAGTTTCTAGGAACTCCAGAGTACAGTTATTGTATAGATGTGCAATCCTTCAGGCCCCTAGGCCAACATCAACAAAGGGCCCAAAGCCACCTGCTCGCTTCTCCCTGGCCTTCAAACCAGAAACGCCATGGGAGTTGGCCAAACAGGTCACAGGAACAAGCCACAGATGCAGCTGCTATAAGCCCTTCAGCCAAGCAAATCAGTGTCCATTCTCTTCCACCATTAAAGATACCTGACTGGGGTGGGCGTGTGGCCTAGCGACTAAGACTGGATTTTAGGACAGCCATGACCCACAATAAAATGCCTGGGTTCAAGTCTCGACTCTGCTCCCAATTCCAGCTTCCTGTTAATGTGCACTTTGGGAGGCAGCAGGTGATAATTCACGTGGTTGGCTCTGTGTCATCCACCCGGGAGACCTGGAGCAAGTTGCTGGCTTCTGACTTTGGCTTGGCCCAGCCCCAGCCAATTGCAGGCATTTGGAAAGTGAACCACGAAGATGGGCTGTGTCTCTGTCTCAGTCTTATAAATAGAGAGGGAACAAAAAGACCCCCTGCCTTTTACCTGTGCTTAAGAAAGGGCATGACACAGTCTTGTTTCGGCAACAGGACTCCCCCAGCGGCTGGGCTGCCGGATGCAGGTATCACAGAGAGGTTGCCTGGATGCCTTTTTTTTTTAAGATTTATTTATTTACTTGAAAGTCAGAGTTACACACAGAGAGAAGGAGAGGCAGAGAGAGAGAGAGAGAGAGAGAGAGAGGTCTTCCATCTGCTGGTTTACTCCTCAATTGGCTGCAATGGCTGGAACTACACTGATCCAAAGCCAGGAGCCAGGAGCTTCTTCTGGGTCTCCCACATGGATCAGGGGCCCAAGGACTTGATACATCTTCTATTGCTTTCCTAGGCCACAGCAGAGAGTTGGACTGGAAGAAGAGCAGCCAGGACTAGAACCGACATTGATATGGGATGCTGACACTGCAGGTAGCGGCTTTACCAGCTACGCCACCGCACCGGCCCTTGCCTGGGTGTCTTAAAAATGTTTTATTCCTGAGCCGGCGCCGTGGCTCAATAGGCTAATCCTCCACCTTGCGGCGCCGGCACACCGGGTTCTAGTCCCGGTTGGGGCGCCGGATTCTGTCCCGGTTGCCCCTCTTCCAGGCCAGCCCTCTGCTGTGGCCCGGGAGTGCAGTGGAGGATGGCCCAGGTGCTTGGGCCCTGCACCCCATGGGAGACCAGGAAAAGCACCTGGCTCCTGGCTCCTGCCAGGATCAGCGCGGTGCGCCGGCTGCAGCGGCGGCCATTGGAGGGTGAACCAACGGCAAAGGAAGACCTTTCTCTCTCTGTCTCTCTCTCTCACTGTCCACTCCGCCTGTCAAAAAAAAAAAAAATGTTTTATTCCTTACACAAGAGAAGGTTCAGACTATGATGACAGCAACAGGAAAAGTATCAGCAGGGGAAGGTGCCAGGGTGTCCCCCAGAAGCACACGGTGGCATCTCGCGAACTGCATCATTACTGCCTATGGGACTTCATTCATTCATTGCTTTATTAAGCAGACATGGATAGTGTGTGTGAGTGTGAGTGTGAGTGGAAGGCACCCAATGGGGTTTCTTTCTACCCTGAGTACCTCAGAGTCTCTTGGTAGGTGGGCAAGTGTCATGTTGGCTACCTGAGGCTCAGTATTCTGTCATTGGGGCTGAAGACAGATACAGGTTGGACTGAATTCTCTCTTCCCACAGTTTTTAGTAAAGAGCAAGCAGGAGTGTGCCCAGAAAGGCCAAAGGAGTTTTTTTAAAAAGAGATTGAGTGACTAAAGGCTGCTACGGGGAATGGGAATGTGGGATAAGAGAGCCTGTTTACAGGACGGCTGGAGGGCTGTGGCATAACCTCCCCCCCCCCCCACCAATGTATGCCCAGGAAGCTCCCATTAGAAAGCCCTGAGTGTATTGCTGTAACAGGGTCATCAGCAAGAGGACAGGGGTTCCATGTGCCTTACAGAGTCAAAAAGACTCCACTGGGAAAATTGCACTCAAATTTGATCATGAAGAGTGGATGGGGGCTGGCCTTGTGGCAAAGTAGGTTAAGGTACTGCCTACAACACGGGCATCTCAGATCAGAGTACTAGCTAGAAGCCTGGCTGCTCCCCTCCTGCTCTAGCTGCCTGCTAATGTGCCTGGGAAAGCAGCAGAAGATGATCCAAGTGCTTAGGCCCCTGCCAACCACATGGGTGACCCAGATGGAGTTCCAAACTCCTGGCTTCAGCCTGACCCAATCCTGGCTGTTGCTGCATTTGGGAAGTGAACCAGCAGATGGAAGATCCCTCTCTGTCCTTGTCTGTCTCTCTGCCTTTCAACTAACTAAATCAATATTTTTTAAAAAGTGCATGGGAATTTTCTAGAAAGAAAGGATGAGGTTGGTGGGTCTCCAAAGCCAGCCCAGGGGGCGGGTGGTGTAGACAGTGAGCTATGCTACCTCCTGCAATGTCAGCATCCTTGGAGTTCCATCTGCTCTTCTTCCAGTCCAGCTCCTTGCTAGTGCACCTGGGAAAGGAGCAGATGGCCCAAGTGTTTGGACCCCAGCCACCCATATGGGAGACCCAGACAGATCTCCTGGCTCCTGGTTTTGACCTGGACCAGCCATGGCCTTTGAGGCCATTTGAGGAGTAAACCAGCAGATGGAAGATCTCCTTCTTTCCCTCTAGCCCTCCGCCTTTCAAATAAAGAAAAAGAAAAAAATTTTAAATCAATCTCAAGACAGATGCTGGTGATTCCATTTTTACTGAGGGAAATGAGAAAAAAAAAAAAGCACAAAGACAAGGTAGTAAGTTATTCAAGAAACTAAATTTATCCAACTTAAAGAAACTTGCTTTTAGGTGATGTCCTTTCTACATTGGGAGTGGTGCTGCTTTTCTTCCTCTTCTGAAATCTGGGTGAAAATAGATGGCTTTGTTATAACCTGTGTTCTCTCTTACCTGCCCTAATAAAAACAACAGACATTTCCCACATTTAAAAATAAAATGCATTGGTCTTTGAAATCCAGAGAACTGAAGATCATAGGGAGCTCACTGCAGGGCCAGGATGGTGCACAGGCTGTGTCACTGGGACAGGCCCTGGTGCACATGGCAGAGAATGGGGGTGGAGCAGTGGTTTAGGGTTAGATGAGGGAGGTCTCTGCTACAAGCCTGGACTTCACCTTGGGAAGCAGGGGTCACTAGGGGTGTGTCAGCGGAGGAGACAGGACATACTTGTGTCGTGGGCAGATTAACTTGGGTTGCAGCAAAGCATACTGACTGGAGAGGAGAGAGATGAACCAAAAAGGCCAGTGACACACCACTCCAGGTGTAAGATAAGGGTGTTATATACGACCAGAGACGAAGGGAAGGAGGAAACGGAGCATTGGTGTGATACATGCTTTAGGGACCACCTATCAGAAAGACCAGCATATCCAAGTATATTTGAGGATGTCTCAGAGCTGAGTGTTAAAACTTACAAATAGCATATTAGTCTTCCTGGCTCACAGAACCTAGTTCCCTAATCAACCTAGACAAGTTAAGAGCTCTGGGGTTACTACGACTCCTAAAAACATGTGCCTTTGGGTCCACTGGTCAGGCTATTTATCTGATGTTTCTGAAAACAAGAGATGATATATTTAGACTTGGGGGTTGGAGCAGGCACTTTAAGGGAGCTGAACAGATTTGCAAGTGTAGATAATAAAGCAATTGACACTTGGGCTTCAATGAGCGGTGGGTTAGGGGACTGTGTAGCCTGGCAAACTCTAGCTCCCGCACCCAGTATATGGAGCAGCTGCTACTGTGCACCAGGCAGTTATTGCAATGTGGGCACGAGGCCGGACCTCCCTATGTGTTGGACAAAGTTGAGAATCCGAATTTTTATTGTCAGCGAATTCAAGTCTAAAATATGGCAACAACATGTGAGCTGAAATCAATTTTGTTTTCAGACTGAATTTGTTCCAGTGACCTCCAGCCTGAGACCTTTGGTCTGGGGATTAGATAACTATTAAGCCAATATCTCCACAACAAGATATCATGGAAGAAAGAGCCACTTGAAGCCACCTAGTGATACAGGCGAAAACTGAACAGGCTGTGGGAATAAGAAAAGAGTTCAAAATAGTTTTTAAAGATTTATATATTATTTATTTGAAAGGCAAAGTTACAGAAAGGTGGGGAGGGTGAGAGAGAGAAAGAGGAGAGAGAGAGAGAGAGAGAGAGATAGATTACTGTCACATTTGCTGGTTCACAGCAGCCAGGTCTGGGCCAGCTGATCCCAGGAGCCTAGAACTCATCTGTGTCTCCCACGTGGGTGGCACAGCGTCAATGGCTTGATCCGTCACCTGCTGCCTCTGGGGTCTGCAATAGCAGCGAGCTGGAATCAGGAACTGAGAGCTGAGACTGGAACTCAGGCACTCCAGGATGGGATGGGAACATCTTAACTTCTGGGCCAAACACCTTCCCCTACGTGGCTGCATTTATAAGAATCTGCAAAGGGCTGCATTTCAGACTGCTGGGTTGTTTCTCATGCTCCTCACTTTGGGAGGACTCACTCTGAAAGCATTTACCGAGTCTATACTTGCCTTCACTTTTGTAGATTAACATGAAAACATATGCACTGTCTAGCAATCATACATGTGCTTAAAACCGACGATTTTTAAATATAAACTTGAATGCAATCTGCAATGAATGAAAGTGCAAAGAGGCAGAATATTATAGGCATTTGGAGCAAGGATTCTGGAGTCAGGATGTCTGGGTTTATATCCTGTCTCTAACATGTAGTCAGATGACCCTGAAAACCTACCATCCACAAGCCGCTTGGTCCATTCGTCTGCTCATAAGGTCCGCAGGAGGGTTAAAGGAGTGAAGGAAGCTGGGTTACCTGGGAAACCGATGGACATCTGCACACAGGATTTTTATTGGGGGTTGCTCTCAGGATCAGCTCCTATATGGGAAGGTAAAGAAGCAAGTTTGGACACAGGGAGAAGCTGGGATGCAATTTATTTCATCAAAAGCCTTGGCCAATCCCATGAGGAGCTCTGAAATGAATAGACCCTCCCAGAGCTGCCCTGGGGGAGGGTGCCTCAGTTACTGGATGCAGGCTGCTCCTGGGGCGGGGTGGGGGTGTGTGTGTGTGTGTGTGTGTCCCAGGCCAAGTAGCTTTCTTCAGTCAAGAGCAATTCCCAGAGAGGAACAGACCTGTGAGGGCTGTGGGCAGGCAGCATGCCCAGCAGCTCATGGGACAAGTGCTTCCCTCTGGAATGACGATCTGGACAAGGCCACACAGCTCCCACTACAAGACAACCCGCCTAGCAAGGCTAATTTTATATATGCACAGAAAAGCATTAGCAGCAATCGATGCATGATAACTTGCAACTATTAAGGTCATTTCCTGATTTTTCAAACTCCAAACAAAAATACTACATAATTAAAGAAGAACAGAATCATACAAGCTGGGAAGCATTTTCGGATTTCTCTCCTCCAATTGCCTTATTTACAGAAGAAAAAAAAAAACTGAAGGACAGAGAGAAACTGAATGGCTTGCCTGAGGTCGTGGCAGTCGATTTAAATTTAGGTCATTGGATTTCAAGTTCAGTGCCCCTTCCACCATATCACAATACAACACATTGCAACAGGAATGCCAAATAGATTCCATCTTTTGTGCCAACTCTAATGAGTTGGTAGTGGCTGCCTAGAGTAGGAGGCTCAGATCAGTGTGGGATTTTTTTAATTATTAAAAGAAGACTTTATTTTTTCGAGCAGTTTTAGGCTCAGAGAAAAACTGAGTCGAAGGTACAGAAATGTACCATCCATGCTATGCACTGATTTCTATGATATATGCACAGTCTCCCCCATTCCCAGGGCCCCGACCGCAGAGGCACGTTTCTTCCAAGCCATGAGAGTATTGAATGGAGTAGTTTTACTGCCCTAAAAATCCTCTGTGTTCTGTCTACTCAGCCATCCCTCCTTGCTGACCCCTGGCAACCCCACTTTTCTGCCCTCCTAAGATTTATAAATTAATTTATTTGAAAGGTACAGTGACAAGAGAGACCTTCCAGCCTCTGGTCCCACTTCCCAAATGCCTGCAATAATAGTGAGCGCTAGGCCAGGCCCGACTCAGGAATCGGGGGCCAGGAATTCCATCTGGGTCTCACACAGGGGTGGCAGGAACACACAGGCCATCACCTGCTGCCTCCCCGGCACACTAGCAGGGAGCTGGAATGGAAGCAGAGAGAGGCCTTGACCCCAAGTACTCTGATATTGGACACTGTTTCCTTAGTTTTGCCTTTACCAGAATGTTGTATAGTTGGAATCATACAGTCTGTAGCCTTTTCAGGCTGGCTTCTTCCACTTTGTAATGGGCATTTAAGTTTCCTCTATGCCACTTCATAGCTTCATACCTTATTATTATTAGTAGTAGTAGTAGTAGTATGGAATAATATCTAATTGTCTGCTCAGTCTCCTAAATGCCTGTAACACCCTGAGCTGGATCAAGCTGAAGCCAGGAGCCAGTAACTAAATCCAAGTCTCCCCCAAGGGTGGCAGGGGCCTACCTGCTGAAGCCATCATCTGCTGCCTCCCAGGGTGTACATTAGTGGGAAACTGGAATCAGGAGTACAGCTGGGCCTTGAACCCAGGCGCTCTGATACGGGAGGTAGGCATCTTATACACCCTGCAAAACAGCCGCCCAGGCTTCGCTTTTTCTAACAACTTTGTCCTCCTTGTCAATGAGAGCTTTGCCTGGTTCCTAAGAGATGGCCTGTTTGTTGAAATGTCCAGATCAGAGAAATAGGACCTAACTAGCTGGTGCCAAGGGTAGCACCTACATGCTTTGTGCTGTTTGCCATCATGCACTTGCTGGAAGTCACCCTTTTTAAAAAGGCACTTACATATTTAAGCACACTTTTTGCATACAGTTGTCCCCAAGGCATCACAAAGAGGTCCCAACAAGAAGGCTTAATTTAGTTCACAATAAAGATCCTGTGAAAACACGTTTTTCATCTTTGCAGTTCAAAATGTTATATAAATTTCAAGCAGTTAAACAACATTTGAAACTATATTGGTACCAAAAAAAAAAAAAAAAAAAAAACCCTTATACTTTACTTCAGACATCGGAAACTTGTGAAATAAAAGTCCACGTTGGAGAAACACTATGGAATTTGCAGAATTAGCCAACTGTCTCGGTACTATTTTCCTTTATAAAAGCAACTTAGTAAAACTTACTATGAAAACCATGGAGGTCAATCAGCGGTTTTGGTGCCGTGCTTTCCCTGTCATGTTTTTTACAAATCAAAGGTAAGGAGGCCGGGGCACAGGTAAGTTACAGGTCTTGCTGCCTCTGGGCTGCCAGGAGAGACACACAGACAACAGGCTGTGCCCACTGACATGGTCCCAGGGCCCTGAGCTGTCACTGTGCCTGCTCTAGCTGCCACAGGGTTGCCTGAACCACTGCTGCAGGACACCAGACAATATGCCAAAGGAAGATGAGCAGTCGCAGCTATTAATAAATGCTGAATTTCACAGCAGATTTGAATGCTATATACATCGGATTGTGGTAGCATAACAGAAACAAATACTTTTATGTTTTAAAAAAATCTTACAGGAAGGGCTGATGGGCAAGTCATCTAAATCTAAACTTCAGATGGTCTAAGGAAAAACTTCAAAAACTCAAATTCACTAATTGAGTAGAAAAAGAGACTATAAGTTGATACTTAGATACGGGCATTTAATTTTTAAGAAGTAGTTGTCTCCTTGATTTTTAAACAAAATTGCTTCCTACTATGTTTCTGCCTCATCATTAGTTGCAGAGGATGATGTGAGTGTGTGTGTATACATGTATGTACATAAGCTTGCAAGTGAGGAAGCACTTCATTCAAAAAGCATATGACAACTAAGCAGAATCAAGGAGAAAGAGTTTGCTGGACTCTAAACATCTGTCTTCATTTCAGGCATCCTGGGCTTATACCATCAGGGCACTAAATGTCATGGATCACATTTTCTAGTCAAATGTACGAACATCTTTCCCACAGGCAGATTTTTACAACCATTCTCGGACATCCCCAAGACAGATGGCAAAGACCTGCCCAACTGTACACCCCCTCCACCACCATGAAACCTTAGCTGCAAACTAATTCCACAAAAGCTGATAACCATTGGCTTTCAAAAGCTAATAATCACACACTATCTGAAAATTTAAGAGTGAGATGTTGGCTCTTATCACCAAGAGTATGGTTTGTTCATGTGCGTAATAATTGTTATATTATTTTTTAATTTATTGGACAGATAGAGTTAGACAGTGAGAGAGAGAGACAGAGAGAAAGGTCTTCCTTCCGTGGTTCACCCCCCAAATTCGCGCTACGGCAGGAGCTACACCGATCCGAAGCCAGGAGCCGGGTGCTTCCTCCTGGTCTCCCATGGGGTGCAGGGCCCAAGCACTTGGGCCATCCTCCACTGCACTCCCAGGCCACAGCAGAGAGCTGGACTGGAAGAGGAGCAACCGGGACAGAATCCGGTGCCCCGACCGGGACTAGAACCCGGTTTATTTGAAAGGCGGAAGATTAGCCAAGTGAGCCACGGCACCGGCCCCGTGCCTAATAATTATTTAACAATAAAACTACCCCATTGCACAAATGAGGAAACCATGGCACAGCAATTTGTGTGTGTGTGTGTGTGTGTGTTTTAAACATTTGTCTAAGGTTAGATAGTGAAGTCAAATTCATACCGATAGAACTATGGAGGCTCTAATGGATTCAAACCTAGTTCTAATGGAACTAGGAGGTCTAATGGATTCAAACTTGGCATAAACTGTTGTTATCTCATGCACCTGTTCTCCACCTGGCCTGTTTGCATCATGTCTCCTAGCTTAGTCTAACATCTTGCCAACCCTTTAAAACATGCATCTGGCAAGTGTCACTTACCACCTGCCAGGGTAGCCATTGCTTATAACAAACAAACAAAAACCCCGCTATACACCATTGTATTATAATTGGCACTTTGGTAACCTTTTCAGAAAAAAAAAGTCCACAACTTGTACAGGTAAACAAACATGTGGCATTTTATATGGTACTAACTGAGGAACACTGAACAGGAAAGGTAAAATCACTGCAACTTCTTGACCAGCTCACATCAGTTTGAAAAGAACCACACTAGAGACTCGTTCTGGGTTCTATAAATTCTTTGTCCCAGAGATACACAAAAGTGCCAAGGGACTTGAAATCAGATTGACAGAGAAAAGTGAAATATTGCACTAGAGAAGAAAATGTCAGAATTGGTTTTAGCTAAGCTTTACAGTGTAACTGGAGGCACCAGTGTTGTAGAGTGCAGTTCCAGGCCCAGCTGGCTCCTCTTCTGACCCAGCTCCCTGCTAATGCGCCTCGGGGGCAGAGGAAGATGGTACAAGTGTTTGGGTCCCTGCCACCCATGTGGGAGATCTGGCTGGACTTCCTGGCTCCTGGTCTCTGTCTGGCCCAGCCCCAGCCTTTGAGGCCATTTGAGGAGTGAACAAGCAGATAGAAGATTTCTCTCTTTCTCTCTCTCTCTCTCTCTCTCTCTCTCTCTCACCTATCTCCCACCTCCCTCCCTCTCTGTCACTCTTTGAAATAAATAAGTTTTAAAACATAAAAAATAAAAGGGGGCCTGTGCTGTGGTGCAGTAGGCTAAGCCTCTGCCTGCAGTGCCGGCATCCCATGTGGGTGCCGGGTTGTGTCCTGGTGGCTCTACTTCCAATCCAGCTCTCTGCTATGGCCTGGGAAAGCAGTGGAAGATGGCCCGAGCACTTGGGCCCCCGCACCTGCATGAGAGACCTCAAAAAAGCTCCTGGCTCCTGGCTTCTGATCAGCCCAGCTCTGGCCATTGTGGCCATTTGGGGAGTGAGCCAGGGGATGCAAGACCTCTCTCTCTGTCTGTAACTCTACCTCTCAAGTAAATAAAGAAAATCTTAAAAAAATAAAAAATAAAAAACCTCCTCCGTTTGCTTGTGTTCCCATGGCAGATGGCTCCTGGAATCGTATCTTTCTTCTTTTGCAACGCAGGGCTTGGACTACATGATCACAAAAGCCCCCTTCAGCTACTCCTTGAGTGCCTGGAGCAATCTGCAGATGTGGTGAGTGCCATGCTGTGTGTGATGACCACTGAGAGGGCTGAGGACGTTTCCAGAGCATTCCAGGTGAGCATGGGAAGGTGACCAAGGCCGCCCAGCCTCGCACTTCTGGTGACGAGCAGCCTGGACTCAAGTCAAAGCTTATTGGAATAGACTTTAGATTTTTTTATAAGAGCAAAATACAAATAAAAATTTTACCACTTTAACCATTTTTAAGGGTGCAGTTCAGTGGCATTAATACAAAAAATGCTACACCCCCACCTCCATCTCTCTCCAGAATATTTTCACCATCTCAAAGAGAAACTCTGCACTCCTTAAACAACCACCCCCACACCCCTCTTCTCACCTGGTAACCTCTACTGAACTTCCTGTCTCCACTGGTTTTCCTAACTGTAGTACCTTCTATAAGCATACGAGATTTGTCTTGTGTGCCTGGCTTCTTTCACTCAGGATAATGCATTGAAGGGATATTTAGGTTGAGGCATATGTCAGCCCCCAATTCCTTTCTAAGGCTGAAATAAATATGTGCTTATCCATCCATCTGTGGATGGGCATTCAGGTTGTTTCTATATTTTGGATATGGTGAATGATGCCGTTGTGAATATGGGTGTGGGGGTAGCAGTTCCTGGACCTTGTTCACGCCTGAAACCATGGAATCACGAATTCCTTTGAGGTCACCTGGTGTAGAATCCTCTGTAACCAAGGAGGGAACAAAGGCCAAGAAACACCAAATGTCTCACCAAGGGCAGCCCAAGCAGAAGCCACTAAGGCCATGGGATCTAAAGTTTGAGTTTATCATTTGGCTGAATCATGCTATTTGAAATGCAGAGTTGAGAGAGAAAGGGTTGGGGTGGGGGAGAGAGAAAGGAAAAGGTCTTCTACCTACTGGTTCACTCCCCAAATAGCCACAATGGCCAGGGCTGGGCCAGACCAAAGCCAGGAGCCAGAAGTCTCTTCCAAGTCTTCCACATGGGTACAGGGGCCCAAGCACTTGGGCCATCTTCCACTGTTTTCTCAGGTGCATTAGCAGGGAGCTGGATTGGAATTGGAGCAGCCAGACACAAACTGACACCCATATGGAATGCCAGCATCACAGGCAGAGGCTTAATCCACTATACCACAATGCTGGCCCCAAGCCTGCCTACTATCTTTCCTTTTTTTTTTAAGATTTATTTATTTATTTGAAAGTCAGAGTTACAAAGAGAGAGAAAGAGAGGCAGAGAGAGGATCTTCCATCCACTGATTCACTCCCCAATTGGCCACAATGGCCAGGGCTGGGCCAGACCAAAGCCAGGAGCCAGGAGCTTCTTCCAGGTCTCCCAGTGGGTGCAGGAGCCCAGGGACTTGGGACATCTTTTACTGCTTTCCCAGGCCACAACAGAGAGCTGGATCAGAAGTGGAGCAGCTGGGTCTCGACTGGCACCCGTATGGGTTGCTGGCACTGCAGGTGGTAATTTTCACCACTACGCCACAGTGCTGGCCACCAAGCCTGCCTACGTTCAAGGGGAGGGGACATATTCTTCTCACGAGAAAAGTGGATCTGATTTAGAACCACAACACCGAGTGAATATTGTCCCCTTCAACATGCTCCCACTGGGATACTGTAACAACTGCTCCAATGCCGCCATTCCTTACAGCTTTCTTTTCTTTTCTTTTTCTTTTTTTTTTTTTTTTTTTTTTTTGGACAGGCAGAGTGGACAGTGAGAGAGAGAGACAGAGAGAAAGGTCTTCCTTTGCCGTTGGTTCACCCTCCAATGGCAGCCGCGGCCGGCGCGCTGTGGCTGGCACACCGCTCTGATCCGAAGGCAGGAGCCAGGTACTTCTCCTGGTCTCCCATGGGGTGCAGGGCCCAAGCACTTGGGCCATCCTCCACTGCACTCCCGGGCCACAGCAGAGAGCTGGCCTGGAAGAGGGGCAACCTGGACAGAATCTGGTGCCCCGACCGGGACTAGAACCCGGTGTGCCGGTGCCGCAAGGTGGAGGATTAGCCTAGTGAGCCGTGGCGCCGGCCCCTTACAGCTTTCTAAGATGCCCTCCCAGACTCTGCTGATTATCCTTTGCACTTGCCACTGGTGCTGTTTCTCCTTTAAGGGAGACTTGATCTGGAAAATTCAGTGATGGAGGTGGAGGGATCACTGGACCTTCATCCCACACTGGGGGACTACTAGTGGGTTCTGGGCCCAGGGATAGGTACACACACATACATATACATACAGTTTTATTTTTAGTTAAAAGGAAATAAAGTTGGAGAATGACCCCCAAAAGCTAATCAGATTTATTGCCCAGTGATCTAATACTAGACTTTCCAAGTAGGAGCACCTTACCTATCACTTACAGTTCCAGCAATAACTGTGCCTCCCCTACCCCAGCCTGCTTCCATGAAGGATGGCTATCGTGTGGACAGGTAAGTTCTGGTACATTTGGTAAAGCCATCATTCCCCACGATTTAAAACAATCCTACTTTGCAGGGATTCAGCTCATTAACTGGACAAGAACAGTGAGTCTGTGCATTTATCTTTCTTTGGATTCATCCAAATGCTGGATGCCTGCATTTCCTTCTGCCCAGGATGAACATGGCTTAGGGACTTTTTAGATATGAAGCCTGTCAAGGAAAACCTAAGCACAGACAGCAGTAATCCTACAGAGCTTGGCCCTGCTCTCTTCCTCTCTATCTGGAGCACTGTCCTAAGGGTTGTCAGGTTACCATGGCAACCAGTAGACCTCGGTGAAATATTCCCAGCTTTTACCATGAAAATGCAGCTGGTTTGCATTTGTGCTGTTTGCTCCAATTGTTTTACATAAACTCACAGGATTTCAGCAGTGCTCAGGTCAATCAGGTTAATTCCCAGCCCTCCTGGGACAGGCAGTTAAGACATCTGTGTTCCATGTTAGAGTAGCTGGGTTCAGTTCCTGGCTCTGCTCCTGACCCAGCTTCCTGCTGACGTGCACCCTGGGAGGCAGCAGGTGATGGCTCAAGCAGCTGGATCCCTGCCCACCCTCATGGGAGTCTGAACTGACTTCCCAGCCCCTGGCTTCAACCTAGCCTCAGTCCCAGTCTTGTGGGTATCTGGGGAGTGAGCCAGTGGGTGGGAGCTCCCCCCACTTCTCTGCCTCTCAAATAAATACCTAAAAATGCCATTTCTCCCTCAGAAACTAAGCCAGACCCCAGAGGCAGAATATAGAGAGATGGTAAACCTGTATACCCCACCCACCCTAGAAGTGCTTGCCATTTCTGTACTTTTTCTTTTCTTTTTGTTAAGATTTATTTATTTATTTGAAGGGCAGAGACACAGAGAGAGGGAGAGACAGAGAAAGAGGGAGAGATGGTGGGGAGAGGGAGAGGGGGAGAGAGAGAGAGAATCTTCCATCTGCTGGTTCACTCCCTAAATGGCCTCGACGGGCTGGGGCTGGGCTGATCTGAAGCCAGGAGCTAGGAGCTTCGTTTGGGTCTCCCAGATGGGTGCAGGGGTCCTAGGACTTGGGCCATCCTCTGCTGCCTTCCCAAGCATATCAGCAGTGAGCTGGGTCAGTGGGGACTCAAATCAGTGCCCATATGGGATGCTGGCATTGCAGGTGGTGGCCCTACCCACTATGCCACAGCACTGGCTCCATTTCTGAGCTTTTTCAAGAACCCAAACTATCTCACATCTTGTATCTGACTTGCCCAAAAACCCACCTTGGCCAGAGGACTATTTTATTTGGCTCATTCTTCAACAACAGTAACTAGAACCTTTATCTCTTTCTCTCTCTTGAAGGCCTCAGAGTGGTCCGCCTCACATTCTGGGTATTAGCCCTAAGTGAAATAGAGTCTCAGAAAGAACAACAACAACAACAAAAAACAAAACAGAGAAGTGTCAGGGCATGCACTTTTATGCCTGTTCTTACCCCATCATGGTACTTCTAGGAAAATCTATTTCATTGTGATAAGAAGATTGAGAAAAGAATTAGAGCCCTGGTCCTCCCTTATTGCAAGATATTCTCAGACGAACTTCAGACACATCATTAAGACAGGAATCACAACACTGACTTCACAGGGCTGCTTTAAAAGCCTTCTGTAACCTTCCGTGCGTTCTGTACATAATGTAGAACATCTTGAAGGGTGTTCTGCTGTGGCTTGGGTATGGTCTATCCACCCCATCCACCCCAGCCTCCCAGGCATTTGGGTCTTGAGGTGTTTGCCCTCGTGGAGGGATTAGGACTGGCTTGGTTACGGGGAGAGCCTGTTATACAGCAAGCCTGCCCCTTGCTTCCACGGGCACCTGCCTTTCTCTTTCCTCAGGAGTTGAAGCAGCACCAGGCCTTCCCCCGAAGCCGAGGAGACGGTGGCACACACTCTGGAAATCTCAGCCTTCAGAACTGGGAACCAAAACGAGCTTCTTTCCTTACAAATCACCCAGTCGAAGTATTTTGTTATTGCAACAGAAAATGGACTCAGATCATTTTAAGGAACGTCTTAATCAAATTTCCTAGGTTAAAAAAAAAATCTCCAAAAGTTGCTTCTACAACTTAATGCCTTCAAACGAATAGGATGGCTGTGATTCTCATAGGTTTTCAACCTACCAGTCTCTGAATACATAAATCGGAATCTAAAAAAACCTTAAACACAGAGATGGGTTCATCAGGATTAGCAGTACTTCTGGTTTATTTATTATGTGTGTCAAACAGGGAGCAGGTGCAGACTTCCTCCAGCAGTAAATAAACCAGGTTGCATGTACTTTAGACACTGGACTCAGAGCACAGCGCCCAGGCTGATGTGCCAAGTGCACAGAGAAAACAATCGGATAAATCAGCTTGAGTCTGGGCAATCTATGACACGGTCTGGAAGATCTTAGGCAAACCATTTTCTTTATTAAAAAACAGCAAGACCAACACAATAATATGAATACAACCAGCCTATTTGGATGTACCCCCCCAAGTCAAAAGAATCCTATTTCTGTCCTTTGACTAGAAAGCAAAAAATTAAATTAAAAATGGTAATTAAATTCTGTTACTATGCAACGTCCTCATGGATGTCTTATCTGGCAGGTGAAGTGAGGCGAAACGGTCACTTTGACTCATAACCTGAGCTCCAGCTTCCGCTCTGCAGCCATCAGGGGTGTGGACTTGGGCAAATCACCATTTCAGGGCTTTCCCCTGGCATCTCTCTAGCATCGCTTTCGTTGTGGGGTAAATGAGACAGTATTTATAAGGTCAGGGCTGAGAGCAATATAAACATGCCAGCGTCTTGCTCCAAAACCAAGGGAAGCGCTTGCTCCTTCTCCCGTGGTGGCCGCCTCCACCTGTCTGGATGTTTTGGTTAGCTACTGAGTGTACTGACAAACTCCTTTAGGCGTGGATGTGATTGATCATTGGGTGAGGCATGAGCCTTGCCAGTTCCCAGGGGCAAAGGCACAAGGCCGTAACCAGCACCCGCTGACCAGGCGCCCAAGCCCAGGCCCAGGAGCACAGCCGTCGTCCAGAGGCTGGCAGAGGGCAGCGAGCAGCCCGAGCACCAGCAGGCGAGGGGCGCGCCCGAGCCGAGGCTCCGCGCCTCCGGGCTGCCACCCTGCAAGGCTCACCACCCGCGGGGACGCCACCGCCACCGCCAGATGC